TATATATATGGGCTTCATTAGAAATAACCATACTGCTAATGGTGGCCAATAAGTTATTATTGCCTCTTTTAATAAGAGAGACCCAAACACAGTGTGATCACTTCACTCCAGGTGCAGCTGAAGGAGAAAGAAGGAAAATGTCAGGAAAGCAGAATGAAACTGAAGGGTCTAAAGAAAAAGTGCTGCCTGGCCAGGCGTGGCTCAGTGGTTGAGCGTCGACCTAGGATCCAGGAGATCGGGGTTCGATTCCTGGTCAGGGCACATGCCCAGGTTGTGGACTGCGGCCGATCAATGACTCTCTCATCATTGACGTTTCTATCTCTCTCCCCCTCCTTTCCTCTCTTTGAAATCAATAAAGATATGTTTAAAAAAAAGAAAGAAATTTAAAAAAATAATAAAAATTAAAAATAAAGAAAAAGTGCTGAATGGGTCATCTCAATAACTAAGAGTCCCATATTTACCAGGCAACAAGACCTCTTAAGAGCCTGTTGTTTGTCTAGAAGATACTCAGAGAGTGAAGGAAGTAGAAGTCATGGTTCAGCATTCCTCCTGCTCACCTCTTAGGCCGCCCATGCCTCGTGGGGGAGCAGGAGTCATACCCTGCCCTGCACAGAGCCCCACCAAGCTGCTTTAATCATCTGACTGTGATTACAGGGGCAAGATGCTTACCTGGATGCCACGGGAGAAGATGACCTTTTAGAAAGGCCTATGGGAAAATCACATCTCTTCAGAGGGGACCCAGGGCTCACGTAGGAAAAAGAACTGGTTGTTCGCAGCCCCTTCTTCATCTTCTCCATCTGCAGGGGACACAGAATAGGTCAGCTGTGACCCACAACCATTTCTAAAAATACCCCAGATGGAAGCGATACACGGCTTTCTTTCAGAAGGATCCATTTGAAGCTACAGTGCTTCCCACAATAGGAATATTTGCAGAGAAGCACCATCAGGTCATTATATTTAGGCAGTTTGGTTAAAAATAAATAAATTCAGCCTCAAAATGCAAAGATTTCCTTCTCCTTGTTATCTTGAAAAGCACTAACAACAGAACCATATGATGGTCCTGGGTACAAGGGTAGGCAAAAGTAGGCTGAATTACCAGCCATCATTACCTAAAAGATAAATCATAAGTGGATATGAAATAATAACAATAATAAGAGTAAAACAAATAATACAAATAAATACTAATTAATTAATAAATAACACAAGAAGAAACTTTTGTGTACTCACAACTGTAAACCTACTTTTGCCCACCCTTGTATTTAGACAGTGGAAAGAGTACAAAGATCTACAATCACTAGGAAAATTGCAGGTGTATGCAAATGTGGTTATAGCACTCAAGACAGTGAGCTGTGGCCCTGGCTGGGTGGCTCAGTTGGTTGGAGTATTGTCTCGTACACCAATAGGCTGCGGGTTCAATTCTCAGTCAGGGCATGTGCCTAGGTTGTGGGTTCGATTCCCGGCTGGGGCATGCCCAGGAGGCAACCGATCGATGTTTCTCTCTCTTTCTCCCTTCTTCTAAGCATGTCCTCGGGTGAAGATTTAAAAAAAAAAAAAAAAAGCCAGTGAGCTGTGGACCCTAACAGTGTACCCTGGAACCCTACCTGCCCCTCTGTCTTCCCCATGACCTCCCTCTGCAGGAGGTCAGAGGCATGGGCCTCAGTGCTTGGCCTGCAGTGGGGTTCTCCAAGGGTGATTCCCTTCTCTCTCCATCACACTTTTCTGCAGCAAATCCTTATTTGGTCCTCACACCCACATATGTTGGCCCCCTTCCACAGTCATCCACCCTACAGTAAAAACAACGAGTCTGAAACATTCACTCTTCATGTGAGAACCTCAGGGCTACCCCGGATTTCAAAAATAAACATGGTGTTATAAAAATAAATGCCCAATAGTACAGTAATGTGGTGGTTTTAAAGTACGTTCATACATCATTGGCTGTTCTCCCTTCAACAGGTGGAGCTCAATTCCCGTCCCCCTGAGTGTGGGCTGGTCTCAGTGACTTGCTTTAAATGCACAGCATGTGGCAGGAATGATGGTGTGCAACAGCTGAGGCCGGCACGTAAACATGTTGCAGCTTTCCCCATGCTCTGGCTCTCGGATTTCTTGCTCTGAGGGAGGCCAGCTGCCATGTCCTTGGAATGCTCAAGCAGTTCTATGGAGAGTCCACGCAGTGAGGAACTGAGGCCTCCTGCCGACATGTGAGTGAGCCGGCCTGGAAGAGCCCCAGCCAAGCTTTCAGATGACTGCAGTCCTGGCCACCATCCTGACCACTCGCTTATGAGAGACCCTGAACCAGAAGCACCCAGCTAAGCCACCCTCAATTTCGGACCCAAAGAACCAGTGAGGTAATAAACATTTGTTTTAAGCTGCTAAGATTTGGAGTAATTTGTTACATAACAAGTGACAACTAACAAAAGTAGTGTAGTATGTATAATTTCTAAATAAATGTACCTAATTGGGAGTGCCTGCTCAACATTTGTTTTGCTGATGGTGTCAGTATGACAGAAAAAAATGTCTAAAGGCCACTTGTGTGAATGGCAGTTGGCCTAGAACCTCAGTTCTGGTAGCCTGTAGAGGCAAGACTGATCCAGATTCAGACACCCTTAAAGAAGCAGAGGACACTCAGAACCTTCCTTCTAACTCCCAGCCTCTGGAGGGCAGGCTGTGAGGAGGACAAGATCTTTAGGAATTTGCTCTAAGGCACTACAAGATTTAGAAGAATACAAAAAGCAAAATGATTTTCAAAGGTTGAGTGAAATTTTAAACCAAATCTGCCCCTTGAGCGGTCCCTGGACATTGACAGAAACAGGCCCAGGTCAAGCGCAGGGAGGAAGAGCACTGTCAATTCAAGCAGTCCCGAAGGTGAATGAATGCGTGTAGACATACCCGAGAGGCCTCCGCTGAGGCAGGGGCTCCTTTCCCAGCATCTCCTCCGCTAGAGGTGGATGCGGTCTTCTTCTTCTCGATGGTCCGAGTAGGGGAAGACTTGTAGGAGCATTGAACAGGGCTAGCTGTAGCTGTACGAGGACAGATATGAAAGACTAGAGAGTTACAGCATGACAGCCAGAGAGACAGGGAGCACAGACGGAAAAAGTAGCGTGAGCAAGAAGTTGGGAAGAACACATTTCTGTTAAAACGTGACACGGGCAATCCACAGTCTCAGAATACCACCATGCTTTTTCCCATGTGAACAGAAAGGACTATCTTAAAAGACTCCCACACTCAGTGTTCAAGAGTCCAGTTCATTTCAGCTCAAAATCCAGACATTGGAGCCAGACAGACCAAACACTGTCACCTAACAGCTGGATCACCGCGGGCAGGTTACTTAACCTCTCTAAATGTCAACTTCCTTGTGTAGAAAGAGCTAACATAGCAGGCCTGACTGTCTTTGGAAAGAACTGTTTACAAGGTTGGACCTTGGTCAGCATCTGGGAACTCAGGTTTCAGGAGGGTTCTCACCACTAAGTGAAGAGTAGCTCACTGCACCTAAGCTGTTAGTACAAACAACGTGACTTCTGCTGCCCTTCTGAGTCCAGAATGCGGGTATGTGCCTGGTGGGGGTGCCTTCAGGACCAGCTCCCAATAAAAACCCTAGGCACTGAGTCTCTAATGCGCTTTCCTGGTCAGCAACATTTCACACAGGTCACAACTCATTGCTGGGAGAACATGTCCTGTGTCACTATCCTGGGAGAGGACTCTGGAAGCTTGTACCTAGTCTTCCCCAGACTTTGTCCCATGTGCCTTTTCCCTGTAATAAATCATAGCTATGAGTCCTCGTAGAGTCACTGACCCTGGGAGTGGTCTTGGGGACCTCCTGACATATCCTTCTTCTCAAAATGGGAATACTTCCTGCTTCCCAGGAACTTCTTTATTTGTACGAAACATAATTCACATACCATAAAATTCACCCTTTTAAAATTTACCATTTTTTAGTATATTCACAACATTGTGCAACCATAACTATAGTCTAATTCTAGAACATTTTCAACACCCCCAAAGGAACCCCTGTACTCATTAAGCATTCATTCACCTTCCCCCGCCTCCTCCATTCCCTAGCAACTACTAATTTACTGTCTCTGGATTTGCCCATTCTGAACATTTCATATAAATGGAAACATACAATTTGTGGCATTTTGTGTCTGGCTTCTTTCACTGAACATGTTTTCAAGGTTCATCATGTAGCATGAATCAGTAATTCATTCCTTTTTATAGCTGACTAATATTCCACTTTATGGATACCACAATTTCATTTACCAATTCATCTGTTGATGAACATCTGAGTTATTTACACTTTGTCTATAATGAAAAATGCTGCTAAGAACACTTGTGTACAAGTTTTGGTGTGAACATGTGTGTTCAATTTCCTCGGCTCTATACCTAAGGTGGAATTGCTGGGTCATATGGTAACTCTGATTAACTTTTTGAGAAACTTGGCCAGGCTGTTTTCTAAAGTGATTGGATCATTTTTTCATTTCCACCAGCAATGTATGAAGGTTACAGTTTCTCCATATCCTCACCAACACTTATTTTCCTTTTTCTCTTTGAATTTTAACCAGTCTAATAAAACGTCAAGTGGTATCTCATTGTGATTGTGATTAACATTTCCCTAATGACTAATTATGCTGAACATCTGTTGTGCTTATTGTATATCTTCTTTGCAGAAACAGCACTACTCAGGAACAGCCAGAACTAGGTAGAGAATTATGTCATTTATACATCACCTCACTGAATACATTATCTTGAGAACGGAGACCAGACCTACCTTAATGTGGACACAGCGTTGCTCATGTGCAAACGGAGCACACCAGCCCTCATTAATCATGCCATAATGAGTTGACCCACTTTGGTCAAGGAAGGGTTTTGATGGTATGGCCCAGGGTTTCTGATTATAGCATGCAGGTCTGGTGGGTCCTGGAGTCTGCCTTCCTAACAATCTCTGGTGTGATGCCAATGCTGCAGGTGCATGGATCAGTCCTTGACATTTGTTAAGCTCTCTTACTGTGCCAATCTCATTTAATCCTCATGACAATGTAATATAACTCCATTTTATAGATGGGAAAACTGAGGCTTAGAGAGATTACTTTATCCAAAGTGGTAAGAAATAGTTAAGTGGTGGAGTTGTTTATAGAAGCCCAGAGATTGGGTTAAAGGGAGCTTTGCCAAACCGTCTCTTTAAAAAGTCTAACCTCCATAGCTCATGAAATGGATTTTTTTCCTAATCCACATGCCTTCAATGACAAAATAATTTACTCACCTTTGTGACACTTAAAAGAAACATAGCAATAGGAAAACACTGGTGGGCAGACATTTCACAAAGCCAGCAAGTATGAAGCGAACTACAAAAATTCAGGAATAACTTATAGGATAGCCAACACCACTTCTGGCATTGTCCTTAGTGTCACCAGCTTGGCCTCTTTTACCTGAGTCACTGGCCTGCTCAGGGACTATGAATGCACTTCTGCTTCTGGCTAAAGAAGCCTGTGTGGGTGCCAACAGTCGCATAACGAGAAAGTTTTCCGTGGGAGTAATGTGCATGCGTTGAGCTGAGGAATGGAATCAAATAAAAAATTTAAAAAGCAAAATTAAAACAAAACAAAATAAAATGTTTAAAACAACACAGTGCATGATGCAAATTAACTTTTAGGTGGTAGAACGAATGTGGAAAATAAAAATATTCTAGCACAGGATGACTTCAGAATTTGTCATAGTAAAATAAAACAAATGATGTGTCATTTAGTGTGAAAGAGTGCATTAATTCTCTTGCAGTGCCCAAATTCATTCAATATGCTATTACAGTGTTACCTGTATCACTCTAAGAGAATTAGCCCATCTTCCAGAACATAATATGGACTCAAGAAACCATTTACTCACCAAGTAGATCTAACATTGAAAAAAGATTACTTCTACAAAACACTTGTTTTAGGTCCTCTGTAAAGAATATTTCATAGGACACTGATTTTGCTTGTGTGTAAATATGCATCCTTTCATATTTTTCCATGTAAATAAGGGCAAAATTAAATAAGCACAAAAATAAAAATAGCCAACTGATTATCAGCTTTCATGGAAGTAATAATATTCATAATCTAAAATTCAGTGACTTAAATGTCATTCTGATGGTTTTGGAATGTATTATAAGGTAATGGATGAACTTTTCCATTACTCTGTACGCTTTGGGTACCCAGTAGCCAGTAAATGGTTTGGGTATTCAAATTTTCAATTCATAGTTCACAAGCAGGTAATTTAGCTGCCAATCTTTGCTTTCTAATCAATGAAAATATGAATTTAACATCAACTTGGAAGCATGTGAGTTCATGAAAAATTATGGAATACACTCACTAATGCAACAGTTCTATGGATTTAAGAACATGTATACATTTTCTCATCCAGCTCTTAATCAACTCCAGGTTTCCAGTGCTTAACCATGAACTAATCCGAGATCAGCCACACTGAAAGGGGTCTCTGACACGCATGACAGGTCTCCATGCTGGAGGTGCAAGGTCAGTGCCATTGAAAAACAACTAGGAAGACATACTGGCTTCTTCAAAGTCACAAATATCCTTCTTCTGGCCCTTTGGCGATGACTTGATGTTTAAAATATTCCACTGGCACCTGATACCTCTTCAGCGATGCTTTAAAATACAGTTTTGATGCATGGACAGCTTAGCTTCCCTGCTTCCTTAACCTGCATGTGCTAAAAGGTCTCAGTTCAGACTTTTAATGACTTATCTGAGCCTCCACTAGAACTCGGGAAGTTTTCAATCTACTCCATTTCTGGCACTGGCACGTGACCTATACATAGCATCTCCCACCTCAAAGCAGAGTGCAGGAAAAGGCCACCCACCCTTTCCCCCTTTTAAAGGCTTCATATTAATTCTGAACGGCTTGGGCAGGCCCACAAAGCACAGGCAGAAGCAGAGCCCAATTTTTTCACTCATCTAAGTCTCCCACGTGCCTCTGCCTCATCAATTCTGCTGTTTCTGGCTAATCAATTACATCACACCAATAGCTGGGCGGTTACTTTTTTAATGGGCACATCTGCCCACCAGCCAATTAATTCTAGGACAGGATAACTCCTGCATGCATGGTGGGAGATGGAACAGTCTCTTTCAGGTGGGAGAAAAGCAGTAATTCCTATCTCTATACAGCCATGACCTGGCTCTAAAGGGTGGTGCCACTTTCCAAAGTCCCATTGTGGTCCTCACATTCAGACCACAAGACTAGGATAATGGCAGTGTTTGCAGAAGGCTCACTAGGAGCTCTCACGAAGACCGACATTAAGACGCTCGCACTAGAAAGAACACAACTGGAGATCAGGTCTCCGTGCTCACTTGCCTCGTTCTGGGGAGCTGGATATTGCCGCGGTGGATGAAGACAGGCGCTTGCTCATGGGCTCCGTCTGCTTGGGCAGATTCATAGCTGATGCTGAAAGGCTGTCGCGCGCTGCAGAGAAATGCAGTAAAGACACTGGTACCATGCCACTGTAGACTGAGAACCACTCCCCAACCCCCCAGCATTCTTCCTGTCCCCATCCACGTGCCTCCGAAGCTGCTGTGACACAGCACACTGCCTCCAGCGTCCTCCCATCTACCTGCCTGTCGGGAAACACCCAGGCCACAGCAGCCGCAGGACTGAAGCAAGAGCTTCTCTACCACCTCACTGCACTGTTCAACTAAAGGCATGCTAATCCCATCAGCAAATCACTTATTTCCTTGTGTCCAGGGGCTTTTATTCAGTATGTTCAGACCACACAAAAACAACACCAATCAGAACCCAGAGACAAATAACCCCCAGAAAATGTTCTATGGCCTGAGTGCATGAGTGGGAACCACACTTTTTCTGAGGGCTGTCTACAGCTCAGGTGGGAGAGAGAAGCCATTTGTAAGGAGGGGAGCTCTAGTTAAGGCAGAACAACCTTTAGTAGCTGTTTCCCTCCTCTTATCAAGAGATGGGGTCACCATGGCCTTTTCTCAAATGCTGTAATTGCTTATGGTTAGAATGGTAACATGTGGTCCCGGGTTTGGTGTTCTTGAGTTCCAGCCATTATTTTAGAGTGGTTTCTAAATGAAACCATTACAGCAAATGAAGAGGTACAGGCGGTGCCTGCCAAGCCATATCGGAGCCCAGGGCAAAAGGAAAGATGTGTACCCTGGCTTGAGAGGCAGCAAACTAAACTCATCAACAAGACTTTCAAAATCTGCTCCTCTCCTCATGTTTTCAAATGAGAGAACTGCTGTGTTTGACTAGTTCTTCTGACCAAGTGACGATCTTAAAAAATTTCTAATTGACTTAAGCTGAAATAAAATTATAATAAATTGTTTTGGTATAAATAAAATAAACTTACAATTATGTGTGTTTTAATACACCTGCTTTTCAATTTTTCAGTATTTTGGCAACTACTTTAATATTCTCAAAGATAATTAACTTGGGAATTACATAAAGCCATAGATCGGGGTACACATTCCCCCCCCCCTTTGCCTCAGGTTCCAGTGTGGCTCTGCATGGCACTGGTCTTTAGAAATTCAATATTTTTGTCCATCATGGATTGTTCTGCATTAATTTTGATTTATTAAAATATTATTTTATCTCGATATAGTGAGATTTTTGGTGCTCCCTTAAATTGTGTACCTGAGTTGGGTACACTTACCTCACCCTGGCCTGGGCCCTGGGTGCGATTCCCAAGAGTTAATTATCAACTCCACCTGCCCCTCTCTGTCAAGGGGAGGCCAGTGCCTCCACTACAGCTCCCTCAGCCTGTGCAGCAAAGCCTCTGCCACTCAGTAACACCCATAAAAATTATTCTTTGTCAGAGGAATGCTGGAGAGCAAGGATATTTATTCCTACTGCTATAAACTGACCTGTGCATGGCTGGTAAATAGTGCATCTCTTTTACTTTGTTTTTTCTTTGCCAGCCAAAGATGGGTTGAATTTCTAAAGTCGTCATTAAATGGGAACAAAGGTTTGCTAATTCTGTTCTTGATCTAGAGTCTAGACCCTAAGAATTGCCCAAGCCTGTATCGAAAGCAGAGAGCCTATCAGAGAGGTGAAATCCAGAACCCAGCCCGCTGATCTCCTTGTTTGGATCCCCAGGGTTAGTACTGATAAACTCCCTACCACTCCCTCTCAAACACCTCTCCAGGAATCCATCACATTAACACCCAGAACTCAGTAATTAACCAGAAGTGACTAAAACACAATACTACTTAGTGCCCAAAGCAATGATTAATGAGTGTGAAAGATCTGAATGAACAAAAGTCAACATTAACAAGATTTAAGACAAAAGTTAGAGAGCTAAGGATGAAATGTTTCCAGGGCACTAGGATGTAAGGCATGCACAGCTCCATGCTGACAGGAACAAAGGAATATGAGCATGTCATCCACATCACTAGAAAAAAAGTTCTAAGGGGTCAGACTAAGAACTGTAAAAGTGCTTGAGACAGACACAGTGATGGAGGAGGGCGATGGGAACAGTCATCACAAAATGCCATGGCACAGTGATGCTCGGATATACCATTGGTGGACTCAGAGGCGGCAGTGGTCCCTGGATCCGGAGGAAGGGTATTGCTGGCTGCTAAACCTAGAGGAGGGGGTGGAGTATTTTCTGATTCACCTATACAGCAAAAAATCAAAACAAAGAGAGGTAAAAGAAAAGGTCCCACTTTCTGGTTGACTTAGTTCCTACTTAGGAAATTAGGAAAGTAACTGAAATGGGTTGACTTCTCACAAACAGAAAAAACAAAGTATATTCACTGACAAAAGGTTAAATGCCCAATACAGCAAAGTCAAGAAGCTGTAATATAAATGTAAATCCATCTGCTTTCAGGAAGAGCTAGTACACAACTCCTGGATAAGAAGATGACAAAAGGTAAGACATTGAAGGGGGGAAGGCCACTCAGACTGGTAACAATCCATACATTCAATTAAAGATTTTAAAATTTTAAAATGAGTACGAACTAGATAATGAAATAAATAAGTCATCTTCAAACAAAATAGAAACAACAAAAATTAACGAGGAGGGAAAGCCCCTACCCCCTTTTGAGAAGGTAACTGCTGCTCAGCCTCTGTGGGTCATGCTGTAGCGCTGCCATCCCCCTGCCCTGAAATCAGACTGTCCCAGGGCTTGCTGGGTGGAGCCGGTTAACTAGACTCTGCATTCAATTTCTTTGCTTTTCTTTTGCTTTACCTCACAGCCCAGTTATTGTATCAATTGCTGCTTGCTAGCAAAAAAGAATACACAGATCCCCTTCACAAGAAATGCATACACAGGAAGCTTGGCAGTTTGAAACATTACATCTGAAAAAGGTACCTGCAGACTGGTACAAAGCATCCCCCAGACCCTGTAGGCTGTGGGGCCCTGCAATGCAGGGACAGCCCTAAACTCACCATCACGTCCTCCAGGCCCGACTGCCACTGCCGGTGATGCTCCTCCCCAGGAGTACCTCTTCTTCAGCTCTAGCTGCTGGGAACGCTCCAGGGACCTGCGCAGCATCGCCTCCAGCCGCTCCTGCCCAGGTGGTGCAAGGGAGAGCAAAATTAACACCAGACTCAGCGCTAGGATGAGTCACCAAATGGGGCTCTGGGCTCAGCAGCCAAAACCCAGGCACAGGTGCTCTCCGCCACGCACACACACACACAGCGCCTTCTCAGTGGGTGGATAGTAAACAATGATAGTAAACAATGCAGCTGGGAGAGTAAACAAGGCAGCTGGTGCGTTCCCAGCCCCAACACCTCACCCCTGGGAGAGGCTGTGCAGCCAGGCCCAGACAAGCATTAACTCCTTGAGGCCTGTCTCAAGTCCCAGTTTGCTCCACCTACTAGGAGAACTGGAGTTGTGTTCTAGAAACAACCAAATGCTCTCTAGTTGAAATGCATAAAGCATTCTGATTTGAGAACATTTATATTAAAATATAATTTGAATTTTATAACCAGAAGCCTAACTTTTGGGGTTGCTACATGACTGAGAGATTTATTTTGCAAAGCCCATTTTCATCTTAGCATTTCTTAAAGGGGAATCCACTGTTTTCTACATTGTAACACTTTTCTGCTCTATAGTCTTCTGGAGATAATGCTACATATTTCAAAAGTTAGAGGAGACAAGAGTAGGGAAGTTTCTGGCCACAAAATACAGCATCTGTGCCTTCTCAGAGTTGGATGGGAGGAGGGGAGGGAGAACTCAGCAGTTTTTAGCCAGAAGAGAAAAACACGGACTTCTCTCTTAACAGAGCATTTATCAAAAGCACTCTCCTGTATTAACCCAACTGTCACTTTCAGAAGGTTGGGCCTGATTGCTGGCAAGTACTTCCCTGGCACTGGAGTTTCAGTTCTACACTCCTCACTGCCCCAATGACGCTGCAAATACTAGACCCTCTCCCTACCTCCCCATGGAGAAGGCCGAAGCAAGATAAACAGTTATGCTGACACCCTTTCACCCTCATAAAACCCACCTGAGGTGCTCCAGGAACTGGGCTAATCCTAGCCTGACTCCAAAACCGAAAGATACTCTTTACAACTGGCTTCAATAAGCAAGCCAAATTAACTTAGGGCAGCACTAACCAAGTAACCCTGACTTAAGGATCGGGCAAGGCTCCCTTATTTCACTCACTAGAAACACAGAGGTCACTTAGGAGGTGCCTGGACCTATCCTTTGTCTACACCAGAGGGATGAGTTGAGCATTCTTCACATCTCAGCCTCCTCTGCAGAATTTCTCTCTGAACAACACTTTGCTAAGAGACAGCCTCTCCGGGGACCTGAGAGCAGAAAAGAGATTTTTTTCCTCCAGTAAATATCAGATTGGAATTTGCTCTTGTATTTGGCTGAGATTCTACAATCATGAGTGTGCATTTCCTGGCAGAGTCCTGTCCTCACGACCTGGGGCCCATTAAATTCTGACAGCCAACCCCGGGGATCTGTCTGAGAAAAGCTGGGGCATTGAGGGACTTGAACATCTTGACTATTTGAAGCTTGAGGTATGGTTGATCAAGACTGGGGCTGAATAGTATTTCGTTACATGGATTTAACATAAAGTATTTAACTAGTGACCTAATTTAAGTGCTGAAGCCTTGCACCTCAGAGTAAATCTAGTATTGAGTGGGTTATGGGAGATTTCCTACATGCCAGGACCTCACGAGGTAGTCCCTCATCTACTAGGAGACCAATGAGAGGAAAGAACACTAAGACTCTGGGCCAACCTTACCACCGAGCAGCTATCTAGGGGCATAATTAGAAGGGAATGATCACTCAAAGCCAGACCTACTCTTGGACTATTCAGTTACCTTTAGAAAAAACACCTCTCCATCTACTCCCAATCCACTGAGGGAGCTCTAAATTCCACCATTAGAGATTCATTCCTTTGAACTGTTTATAGGCTTATGAAAATGAAGTTATCACTGAGAGAAGACACAATCACTTTGTGTCACCCACTTTTGGAGAGATGATGAAAAATAGATAGTAACCAAGCTCTATGGTAAGGGGATTTATAGAACCCAAAGTTGTCCAGAATGAGGTGATTCAAACATCAAAACAAAACTGGTTCACTTTGCTTTCTCAGAGGTTAGTTTACACAGGTCAGTACTACCTAGTATCTTCCTATTCCTTCACGTGATGGAATGGAAAGAATACTAGATTTGGAGTCAGGAGGTATGGATTCAAATCCTACCTCTGCCTGCCACTTTTTACCCTTGTCACCTTGAGTATGTTTAAGATCCTTGGGCATCAGTTTCCTCATCTATAAAATGGGGATATTACCTATATCAGCAGACCATTCAAGTGTACAAGATAATAACTAGCACAGTAAATCCTGAGCCAATGCTAACTGAATCTGAATTTGAAGAGGAGGATTATCGACAGGGCAGTCTGAGCAGTGGTTCTCCAACTCGAGTGAGCCTGTATCAGAGTCCCCTGCACTGCTTGTTAGGACACCATTGCTGGGCCCCACCAAATCTCTGGGATGGAACCTGTTGAGAATTTGCATTTCTGATGAAGTCCCAGGCAATGTAGGTACTGCTGGTCCTGAGGCTATACTTCCAGAAGCACTGGTTAGAGGAAAGGCTGAGCATGAGAGGGCAGTTGAGAAAGTTCCCTCACATCAGTATTAATAACTATTAGAGCTGCATACCACATAGCTCGATTCCTGCCAAGCTCTGGTTCTCCAGATGGTCGATAGAGGATGGGGAAAGGGCAAGGCAGATTCTTGTCGCTAGAATGTCCTTTATTGGGTGGGGCTTAGTAGAAGGAAAGAATAAGGAGACCTCACCCTTGACCCCTTGAGCTCTGGCCCTAGATCTGCCTGTATGAACTCAGAGGAGAATCACGACCAGGGTGACCTGCTGAGCTGGCCTAGCTTGGGAACTGCTACCCAGCTAGCCAGCTCTGGCAGGAGAGGAGGGCTGGCTGGGCCTTTTCCAGTGCCCTTACTATACATGTTCTGGAGATGACAGTGTGGGACAAGCTCCCAAGTGGTCCTCAGCAGAGGGTCTTTCTCTCTACAAACAGACATCCACCCCTGACAAGAAAGGCCATGCAGTCACCATGGCCCCATACCAGCCAGTGCCTGCGAGGGCCAGCCCTCAGCTTAGTGAAGTTTTTGTTTAGGTTGAGTTCAGAAATTTGTCTTTTTTTACACTCAGCCTGGTGGGTCTAGTTAGGTATTAATCAATATCACTATGAGAAGTTGTGATGTATCCAAATAACTTACAGAGATGAAGCTATTCATTGCCAGAGGCCTTTCCTGGTTATCTGTTTAGCATGAGGAACACAGAATTGGCTTAGCCAGACCCCATTTTCCAGGGCCTCTCGTCAGGAAGCCATTCTTCCCAAGCGGAGGGTGGGTGACCACACTGTGTTGTCAGCCCTATTCCAGGTAGGTGACAAGGGCTTATTCCAGAAGCTCGATCCCTAGGGCATGAGAGGGTTGGAGGAATCTGCCTTGAGGAAAAGGCAGCCTCCAGTGCATACTGGATGGTCCCTTCCCCAGGACAGGCCTGACCAGCCTCCAGCCCTCCAGACCCCAGGAGCAAGGCTGTCCATGGTGCCCACTTCTCTGTTGGCAGACAGGAGGCCTCCAGGCTGAGTCTGGGGCTCACTCATATGGATGTGAAAAGTCATCAAGAGCACCATCACGGCAACCCTGGGGACATGGCACTGGGATGGGGCTGGGGGAAGATGGGGAGTCAGCGGGCCTTTTACAAGCTCCTAATTAATATCAGACCCACAGAGGCAGGACTTGGTGGGCAACCCAAACACTTTCCAATAAGCTTAAGAGGCAAAATGGGCCGCAGTGGAATGAAGCCCTGCAGAGGCTTCTCCCTGGCTGACGGAGACAAAGCATGACAAAAAGACTGAAATCTGCCACTGACAAGAAGATGGAGACTCTCCACAGCTGTGTACCAGGCAGGCCGCGGCCCTCCCAAAGATCTCCGGTGACCCCTGGGGCCATATGCAGAGGGTTTCCTTAGGAAAGGCACTCTTGCAATGTAGACTTACCCATTTTCTCCAAAGATAACCCATGAGCATGCCAAACAGGCCTCTGCACAAGCAGAGCCAAAGCCAGCGTGGTTAGCAGGCCAGCCTGCATGTGGAAAGTCCCTAGGCTCCACAGGGCTCGCCCGGGGCCCCAAGGGTAGGAGCAGGTGGCAGAGAGAGGCTGCTGCTTCCCTATCTTGCTACGTTGCTCCTCAACCACAGGAGACCCAGCTCTCAGCCCTGCCCTGCTGAGTCTGGGGAAAAGAGGGAAGCAAGCTTGGCTTGTGTTTATGCTGACGAGAGGCAGCATCCCCTGTTCCCCGCCATCACCATGCTAGGGATGAAAGGGAGCACACAGAGCAAAAAATTAGCAGGATGCGCAACCACTGAAAAGTCAGCTGCATCAGGACCAACCATCTGGCCTAACATTCCCTCATCTGCAAGAGCAGGAAGTCTGAGAGCTTGATTTCAAATGCCTCCAGTGCCACGGTTCAATGAGAAAAGCTACGGACAGGGGTGCCTCCAAGGTGGACCCCTGTGACACCATCAGGTGTGCCAGAGGCTTGGGAAGTCTCCTGTGACTGCACAGTGCCCCTTCGTGGAAGCAGGAGTCACACTTGCTCTGGAATCAGCAAGCCAGCAGGATGCCAGGAATCAAAGTGGAGAGAGCAGGGAGGAAGGGGACAAGCTGTGAATCAAGGAATGGAGGATGGGAAGCAAATGGGCGAGTCCAGTGACTCACAACAAATACATACAGGCTGGGAAAGGGCAGGTCTGTCGAGGGTTACCGAAGCGGCCTAGTACACTGTGGATTTCTTCTTAGTCTATAGACTTTGTGCCGTAATCTTTTCTGGGTAGCTCCCTCTTGACCTTGTTTCAGCCCAGGTCAGCTGAAGTCACTGAAGGGAATCACACATTTCTGAGCATTACTCTCTGCTACGTGCTTTCTGGGCACTTTCACAAAAGTCACCTCCTTAATTCCTGAGACCACCTGTTTTGTGCTGAGGAGACTGAGTTACAGCGTTATAAGGGGCTAGGTAACTTGCCCCTGGCTACCGGCTGCCTAGTGGCAGAGCAGGGATTTGCATCAGGAGCAGATGAAGCCACACAGTGATCAGGCTGCAGCCTGCAACAGCGAACTGTGGCTAAGACCTTCGCTTAGACCTTCATCTGCTAAGAGGAACAAATAAATTGCCATGTAAACGCATGCTTTGTGGGCAAAGATGAATATAATTGTGCGTGTGCACGCATGTTCATGTTTTTTAAACTATTAAAAGAGGAAAGGGTGAAGGTATATCATGATAAACCATTCAGAGATTTAAAAAATACTGAATTTATAGAACTATTTCTGTATCCTCTAGTGTTGGCAATCAACAAACCTCTCTGTTGTTCATACTGGATGATGAGTCATTATGCCTTATGAATAAAAAATGATCATCACCTGATCCAAGGCTATGACTACATCCTGAAAATATACTTGTTAAGAAAATCTATACCCCAAAAATGCTTTCCAAATATATTTTCAAAGTTTAGTAATAAAAGACTCTGTAGGGGTAATTATATTCCATTTCTTTTTTAAAAGGTAACTGGAGAGAAAGGATGATTAAAGCAAGGAACTGCATTAAAATTTAAATATACTAGCATCTTTGGATTTAAAGGCACACTATTTGAATTTTTCCAGTGGTAAAAGGATCAAGTTCTCTTCCACCCTCACAGCTCTTCCTCAAGCCTCTTGTCTGCCCTGCAGGCTTGGACCTCCAGCAGAACCCTCAGGCCTCCACCACCAGCCGCCTATCCACAATCCCCTGAGTCCTAGAGTCAGAGATGGTTAAGCCTGGAAGAAGCCTTGGAGACTGCCAAATCCAACCTACTCCTTTCAGAGACAAGCAATTCAAGGCCCAGAGAGGCCAAGTGGCTTGCCCGAAGTCACACAGCAAATGAACAGCTGAGTTGAATGGATAAGTCTCTTTGTCCCTAGTCTACTGCTGCTCCCACTGTATAGTGTCACGCTGGTAAAAGAAGGCATTGTGAGCCACCCAGGAGAGAGCTTAGGAGCAGATCACTCTTGTACCTTGTACCAAAGAACTGGGAAGGACACACAGGTGCCCTGAGAACCAAGCCCTGTGTGAGCCGCTCAGACAGCCTGGGGGTCTGGGGACCTTACCCCATCCTCCCGGAGCTTCTGCCTCCTCTTCTCTTCCACGGCAGCCCTCTTCTGGTTCTCTCGGCGCCGCTGCTCCTCCAGTTTCCGCCATCGCTCTTCCATTTGCTTTTCATACTGGAGCTTGGCTCTTTTCTGTTTCTCCAGAAACTGTTGCTCCCGGGCAGCTGGGGGAAGAAAAACAGAAGAAAGGTGGCATTACCAGAGCACTCCACACCATCTGGATTAAGCCCAACAATGCAGAAGCAAGAATGAGAGCAAAAAAAGGGCCTGGTGGGAGCTGAGGCCACAGTGACTGAGATGAGGAGTCCTGGCAGCTCTGCCACTAGCTGGGTGACCCTGGCCTGCTAAGCGCACAACCTCTGCTTTGGTGTCCTCCTCTGTGACATGGAGACAGTCACGTTTGCAACATCCCAGTGCTGTGAAGATCGAACGAGACAATGCATGGAAAGTGTACAGTAAGTGCCCCTACACGTGGCAGCTCCGACTATCATTGTTGTCCTCGAGTCAGTCTTGTCATGCTGGGTAAGCCATACACTGGTTGAGAAATGAGAGCTGTAAGGCTATGATCATTCAAAACATGTTAACTGTGCATGCATCACGCACCAGTCACCGAGCTAGGCGAGGAGGTAAACACATGAATAAGCTTGGCCCCCACAAAACAATTAATAAAGGGGCCTTAACTCCATCCACCTGGCCCTCAGGGAAGAGCTCCCTGGAGGGCTCAATGCCTGTGCTAACCAGCAGGAGGCAGTCAAGAACTTGAAAGCTCCTCATTTGTCCCAATGGGGGGAGGGTTCACTATCTACTTCAGAGCACCATGTAGGGACACGCCCTACTTATCCATCTACAGTCTGCAAGAGGTAAGACAGCATTTCTCAACCGGGTTCCCTACCTTAACACAAATAATGTCTCAACTGGCCCTTTCAGATGCCCCAGAGAGAGTGAGCGCACACAGTGGACACCCGAGAAGCGAGGGCAGTGAGCACTTCTCAGGCTCTTGTTCTTCATGCTCTCTGCAGCCCCCAGCATGTGGCCTGGAACACAGCACATGCTCAGCGTTTGCTAGGCGAGTCAAGGAACTGTTCTAAGAATCACATAATTGTGACCATGCCAATCACAGTGTGGGTTCGCCCCCAATTCTCCACGTTCGTCTACCAATTGTCCTAACTCTCTTCCAATTCAGTCCCAGATTTCTAAGGCTCTTGAGGGAAGACACGGCCATATCTCTGCTTCCTTGCACCTACACTGCCCAAGTGCACAACTTACCAATACACTTTTCTCTTTCTTCGCGTCTTTCTTTGGCTAATCTCTGTCTCTCATCACATCTTAAAAACCCGTCCATGCCTACAAGAAAGAAAACACAGTGAAATATTTCTTTACTCTTTGCCCACCTGCTGAGTGCCAGGGGCTGCTGGGCCTGAGCCCTGGGTCTGGCCACGTGCATACATCATACATCAGCATCGCTTTGTCCTCCGAGACCCAATCTGTCACTCCCCACCCACCGCACAGTCCCACCCCCACACAGCTGGCCCCAGAGCTGAGGGGCAGCAGCCATGGCGGCCACTCACCCACCAGCACCAGCCCAGGAGAACCAAGCCCATTCCCGTCTTCTGTTCCCGGGCCTGGCCCTGCAGGGCTCAGAAAGTAGTAAGTGCCCTGGCCGGTTTGGCTCAGCGGTGAGAGTGTCAGCCCTCTGATTAAAGGGTCCCGGGTTTGATTCTGGCCAAGAGCATATACCTCGGTTGCAGGCTTGATCCTGGCCCTGATCAGGGCGAGTGTGGGAGGTAACCAATCGATGTGTCTCTCTCACATCAATGTTTCTCTCTCTCTCTCTCTCTCTCTCTCTCTCCCCCTGCCCCCCTCCCATTATCTCTGAAAAAGCAATGGAAAAAATATCCTCAGGTGAGGACTGAAAAAAAATGAAAGTGTAATAAGTGACCAAGAGCCCTGGCAGTGTGCAGAAAAGCCCACCAGGCCTCCCCCAGCCTGGCTTCCAGGGGAGGGGAGAAGCAGAAAAGTGGAATGATTACTACACAGAGTGAACATTCTAGTGTCAGGAGGGCTAACAGCTGCAGGACACGGGAGCTCCTCGGGTGAACAGAGAGGATCACACACTCCTTTAATTTGGGTCATCAAAGTCTTCTCTCATGTGAATCTTAGTATTTTAGAATCACAAAGAAGCAATACACTCCTGTTTGTTACTTAAATATCAACAAATAAAATGGAACAATGGTGGTTCTCTCCCCTCCCTGCTTGCAAATGCCTGGGAAGCATCCCAGGAGCTCCTCATTGCCATCCATTTCATCTCTCCTCTACAGGACCCTAAAGGGCTTTCTAAATCGGAGATGAAATGATCTTCACTGTCCTTACGGGATGGGAAATAATTACAGCGCTAGGTCACAACTGGTCATCCATCACTATCATTTTTTTTAAAATTTATCTTTATTGTTGAAAGTATTACAGGTGTCCTCTTTTTCCC